GTTCTAACCAAGCTATGCCAGCAAATCTGGAGAATGACACAGTGGCCAACCAATTGGAAGAGGTCAATCTACATTCCAGTACCAAAAAAGGAGACTTTGTTAAAGTGTGCAAACTATCGTACAATATCCTTAATTTCACCTGCCAGCAAAATAATCATCCAATGCAGATAAGAGCCCTATTTGGAAAGAGATGCCAGATGTTCAAGCTGGCTTTAGAAAAGACCAAGGAACACAAGACATTATTGCTGATGCACGCTGGATAATGAGAAAGCCAAAGAATACCAAAAATAAGTCAATATGTGCTACATTAATTATAGAAAAGCCTTTGTGTTGATCACGTCTAGCTGTGGAAAACGCTCAGAAAAATGGGAATCCCAGAACATCTCATTGTCCTCATGAGAAACTTATATACAGGTCAGGAAGCCACAGTACGGACAGAACATGGTGAAACAGAATGGCTTCAGGTTGGCAAAGGAGTGCGACAAGACTGCATACTCTCCCCTTATTTATTCAACCTATATGCTGAATTAAGGGAAGTTGGACTGGAAGAAGATGAGTGTCATTTTAAAATTGGAGGAGGAAACATCAATAATCTGTGCTATGCTGATGACATGACATTGTTAGCCGAAAATGCAAAGGATCTGCAAGCCCTAGTACTAAAAGTCAAAGAGCACAATGAAAAAATGGGACTAAAATTAAGTATAAAGAAGACCAAACTAATGACAACAAGTAGAACCACCAGCCTTACAATTGACAATGAAGACATTGAAGTAATAGATAACTTCTGCCTTTGAGGGTCAAGGAAAGGTAAGGAACAAGCAGTCAAGAAATACGCCACAGACTAGCACTTGGTAGAGCAGCCATGAAGGCCTTAGAAAAGATATTCAAATACTGTGATGTGACTATACCTACAGTACAAAGATCAGAATTCTGCAAGCCATGGTATTCCCTGTGACACTCTATGGAAATGAAAGCTGGACTTTAAAGAAACAGGATGGGAAGAGTATTGACGCTTTTGAACTTGGTTTTGGAGAAGACTCTTGAGAATACCGTGGATAGTCAAGAAAACAAAGTGATGGATCACTGAACAAATCAACCCACAGTTCTCACTCAAGGCACAAATGACCAGGCTCAAACTATCCTATTTCAGATGCATTATGCAAAGACTCAGCTCTCTGGAAAAGGCTCTAATGCTGGGAAAGATGGAAGGAAAGAGAAGAGGATGACCAGCAGCAAGGTGGATGGACTCAGTTACAGTGATGATGAGTACACTGTTGGGAGACTTGAAAAACCAGGTTAGGGATAAATCATCATGGAGAAAAACTATCTATGTAGTCGCTAGGAGTCAAAAATGACTTGATGGCACATAATCAATCAATTAGTTCAATTCAAGTTTTGGTACACAATTCTGTACTGGCCATACCTGCAGATCCTGAGGGGTTGCAGTTACAGTCGTAAAAGGTTATGCTTTCATATGCTCCTCATGATCCTTTGGGAAAAGTTTTTTATTATTAAAAGGTCATTGGGAAATTTCTGGAATTTTCAGGAATACTGGCAACAAACCTTCTGATTATATCAGCTGCCAGCCAGTGGAACAGGCTGCTACATAAATGGTGAGTTTTCCTTCACTGGAGGGCAGAAGCTGAATGATCATCTCTCCAAGATATTCCAGATCTATGAGGAATTATGGTTGTGCCAGGCATAGGGGATGGCTAAAAGAATTATATTGAGAAACTGGAAAAGTGGTATTATTCCAGATATTAAGGGTTGGTTTTTGGAAATGTCTGAGCTTGTTCATTCTGGAAAAGGCAAGATTTTCCACCAATCAAAGGACTAAACAGTATGTTCTTTGACATAGATGTTATGATATTTTATAGTAATACAGTGGTATCATTAGGGCTTTTTTTTAAAAAAAACTGATGATATAATTATGCAGTATTTTTTGTAAACCTGTGATTGTAAGTTTAACATATACATTAGATCTTTAGTATATTTAGATATTTAGTATCCTAACCCTTTAGTACTGTAATTTGTTAAATTTTGTTAGGGTATTTAAGGAGTTTTTGCTTCATGTATTTGGGAGTATTTATTCAGTTTTAATGAAATGTATTACGGCTGCTTGATACCACTGAGGAATCTTTTGAGAATAGCTTCTCAAGAGATAACTTCCATTGCTTTATTCACCACTGTGACCACTTCTCATGGATTATGGAGAAAAGATTCCTTATTTTTTCCTCATTACATCAACATTTCTGGAAATGTTAACCTATCATTAAATGATTTTTTCATCCACCTACTTTGACCCAAACATTTAGTTTCTTTTGAAATTTGGGTCATAGTGTCACCAATCTGCAAGTTACATACAGTTCCATCTCTTTTCCTCAAAGGAGCAGAAAACTTGGTGATGTCCTACCTGTTTCATCTTTTTCTTGAGCATGGTCCAGAAATTCATTCTCAACTCTTAACACTTCCTCTTCACAGCTACATGCTGCATATTTCTCTAGGAGATCTCTGTTCAGATCAAGAAACACTTTTCCCCATTTAAATTTTTGCAAAAGAATTGTGGCAAGATCAGAGAATCCTAAAATAAGGAAAATAATTTCAGCAATTTTAAAACACTTTAAAAGGCAATCTGCATATCTAATTGATGAGAGATACTTCTCAGTCTACACTGTTAAAATAACCTTATTTATTAAGCTTTTGAATTTGAGATTTTATTTTTTTGACCCAGGCTTAATAATTGTGTTTTTGTATTCTATGTATTTAGATTTAATATTTTATAAATATTATAAAATAATGTATTTTACTATATTATTTTGTTCTTTATATTTGTAAAGTAACAAGAATTTTGGAAGGGGGTCAGTAATAAATAAATGCAATCAATCAATCAATCAATCAATTTCAGCAGAGCACAATTTTTTTCATCCTAACATGACAGCCAGCTACAGGCAGATACGTGTATACTTCTTCTAATTTGTAAGGTAAGGCATCCAAAGAATGTTCTTTGTTTCAGCTCACCTACAATGCAGAAGGTAGCAGCAAAAGCTTCCACACAGGTAAGTTTGCATGGCCGTCCATAATTTACTGGATTTGCAGCTATCAAGTAGGGCAGCAGCCGGAGATGATTTCCCTTCATCTTGCTAAATGGTGTCTTGTCCAGCTTTGCCCAAGAGCAATCAATCACTGCAACTCCATTCTGGGCCACAACCTCCCTGAAAATACAGCAGCAGTATTAAGATGTGATACTTCTGCTTTGCTGCCTTATCAGGAAATCAGATCCAATTCTGCAGACTAGCAGAGGAAAAAAAGGGTTGCCAAAGCTACCATCATAGTTCTTACTCCATGAAAGCAACACTATAAAAATCCAAAGATTTTTTAACTGGTAACACTAATGTCTGGATCCTGTTCATATGTACATAAACAATTCAGAAAGTCTGGAACTGTAAGATACTTTGAATACAAATACCACAAATGAGAAAAAGCTAAAGCTGGAGAAAAGAGGTGGGCTCCCTAGGAATCAGCAGCTTTTAAGACCACAGAGACTATCCTATTCATTTCCCTCTTAACTGCAGAAGGATGTATTCTTAGCAGTTACTTTCCAAAAATCCGGGAGAAGAGCAATTTTCCTCTGGTGGCTGTCCCTAGGGGTAAACTCCGAAGCTATCTATAATCTACAGTGCAAAATAAGTCAATTAGAGCTTCCTACACTGAATTTTCAGGTTTTAATTTAAGCAGTTTCTTTATTTACAGGTAGTCCTTGCTTAACGAACACAACAGGGACTGGAAAATTTGTTGTTAAATGGGGCAGTCATTAAGTGAGGCATCATGTGACTTTACAACATTTTGTGCAGCAGTTGTTAAACAAATCACTGCTGTTGCTAAGTGAATCACATGGTCATTACACAAATCACAAAGTTTCCCATTGATTTTGCTTGCTGAAAGTCGGCTGGGAAAGACGCAAATGGTGATCACATGACCCCGGGATGCTGCAACTGTCTAAGTGCGAGCTGGTTGCCAAGCACCCAGATCGCGATCACATGACCACTGGGGAGGCACTGCAACAGTCGTAAGTGCAAGGACCAATCGTAAGTAGCTTTTTAGCTCCATCATAACTGTGAACGGTCACTAAATGAATGGTTGTTAAGTGAAGACTACTTGTACTTATCTCTTCTGAATATTTGAACTGTTTTTTCCTAAACCTTCACTGAAAACTATCTTATTGGGATTGTTGGTTTTCTATGTTTGGGAGGACAGCTTATTTTACTAATGCATTAATTTATTTAATTATTAAACACATTTATATGGTCGCCCATCTCACTGAACATGACTCTGGGCGGCATACAACCAATAATTAAAACAATGTCACAACTATTAAAACACTTCAGAAAAAATAAATAAAAGTAAGATTGCAGGAGAACATCCATCTAAACAGAATACAACCATTGAACAAGCTCCCCATGGGATCCCCAAGGTTGCTGGAAGAACCACATTTTCAGGGCCTTCTGAAAAGCTAACAGGAATGGGGCTAACCTCACCTCAGGGGGGATGTTGTTCCAGAGGGTGGGAGCCACAGCAGAAAAGGCACGTCGTCTGGGTCCTGTCAGATGGAACTCTTTAGCAGACGGGACCCGCAACATACCCTACCTGCTGGACTTGATGGGACGGGTAGATGCAACCGGGAAGAGGCAGTCCCTCAAATAACCTGGACCTGTGCCATGTAGGGCTTTAAAGGTCAAAATGAGTACCTTGAATTGCACTCAGAAGCAGACTAGCAGCCAATGCAGCTCACAGAACAGAGGTATGATATGTGCCAAATTAGAGACACACATTACCGTCCACACAGCGGCATTCTGCACTGGTTGAAGCTTCTAGATACTCTTCAAGGGAAGCCCCATGTAGAATGCATTACAGCAATCCACTCTGGAGGTGACCAGGGCATGAGTGTCTGTGAGCAGAGCCTCATGGTCCAGGAAAGGGTGCAACTGGCACACAACACAAAGCTGTGCAAAGGCCCTCTTAGCCATGATTGCCACCTGCTCCTCAAGCAGGAGTCATGAGCCTAGAAGGACCCCAGATTGGGCACTTGGTCTGTCTGAGGTAGTGCCACCCCATCCAGAACCAAAGATGGTAAAGTCCCAGATCCAGAAGGCCCAAAAACCCAGAGCCACTCAGCCTTGTCAGGGTTCAGTTAAAGCCTGTTGTTCCCCATCCAGACCCTCACAGCCTCCAGGCACTGGGACAAGACATCAACAGCATCGCTTAATTCGCCAGGGGCAGACATGTAAAATTGGGCAAATTATCTCTCACCCAGCGGCTTCATGTAGATGTTAAACAGGAGCAGAGAGAATACCGAATCCTGCAACAGCCCATGTGGAACCTCTCACTCCCAATCAACAGACTGGTACTGGCCCCATAGGAAGGAAAATAACAAGCCCAATACTGTGCTACCCACTCTCAACCCACAGAGCCAATCCAGAAAGAAATCTTGGTCAAGAGTATCGAAGGCCACCGAGAGGACAAGGAGACCAAGGACAGATGCACTACCCCGTCCAACTCACACCAGAGATCATCCAAAAGCATGATCAGTGCGTTTCTGTCCCTTGCCCAGGCCTGAATCCTGACTGAAAGGGGTCCAAATAATCTGCTTCATCCAGGGCCCGCTGACGCTGTTGCACAACAACCTTCTCCACAACCTTCCCAAAAAAGAGGCTAGATACTGGACAAAAATTGTCCAATATGGTGGGATCCAGTGATGGCTTCTTGAGAAAGAGGTGGACTAAAGCCTCCTTAAGGAGCTTAAGCTTAACAACCCCCTCTCTCAAGGATGAATTAACCACCACTAGAACCCAACCACACAACCTCCCCCCCCCCCCCCGCAACTTTAAATATCAAGGAGGGGCATGGATCTAAGGAGCAGGTGGCTGAGCTCACAGTCATAAGGACTCTATCCATTTTTTCAGGTCCAACAGATTCAAACTGTTCCTAAATAACTGGGCAAGACTGTGCCCCAGGCATCTCCACTGGACCTGTACCAAATCTATTGTCTTAACTGGGAATGAATTTGAGTGATTTTGTCTGACGGATGCTCCGCAAATTCTTCCGCACAGCCCTATAGGTGAACTTCTGAGTCCTTCTTCCCAGGAGGGCTCGAGTCACCCTTAACAAGGCTGCCAGGTGGCTATCCGTGGGCACAGTAAGGATGGAGAAGTATTGTTGCTTCATCACCCTTACCACCACTAGGTATGCCTTAATAGCGGCTCTCACCTGTCTTTGATCGAGTTCATCCCTCATCAACCTCCAGCGGTGCTCTGGACATCACTTCTCCCATTTCATCTCCCTCAGCTCTTCCATAAACCATGGAGAGTGACAGAATCAACCAGAGAGGAGAGGTCGCATGGGCGCAATCCAATGCAAAGCCTCAGCCGCTCTCTCATTCCAAGTGACGACCAAGGCCTTAGCCAGACCGTGGAGCAGATCACCAGGAGTAATCCCCAGTTCCCTCTGGAACTCATCAGGGTCCATTACTTGCCAGGGGCAGATCAATCTAATAGGTCCTACCTTCCTGCGGCAGGGGGCAGCGCCAACAAATCTCATAGCAACCAGGGCATGGTCTGACCATAACAGGAGAGCTACAGAGAGCTCCTCCAACTTCACATCATGTTGCTTCTGCTCCAATAGGAAAACCAGATCAGATGTGTGACCACTGTCCCATGTTGGACCCTGAATGACCTGGGGTAGGCCCATTGTGGCTATGAAGTCCTGAGCCATCTCAGATCCCACTCCCAGAGAAGGCAGATTTAAATCCCCCAGAACCATACGCCTGGGGAATTCCACTGCCAACCCCGAGGCAGAGTCAAGGAGCTCAGGCAGAGAGGTTACTATGCAGCAGGGAGGCAGTACAGTGGCAACAGTCCCAACTGATCCCTAGAGCCCAACTTAAGGACAGGTACTCGCATCCAGCAACCTGTGGAGCAGTGCTCCTGAAAGCTGTAAGAGACTCCTGAATGACAACCGCCACACCCCCTCCCCTGCCCTGGGGTCTCAGCTGATGCCACACCTGAAACCCATCTGGACACATTTCTGAGAGGGGATACCCTGCTCCAGACCCAGCCAGGTCTCATAATACACGCCAGGTCAGCCCTCTCATCTGTGATCAAATCACAGGAGGCTTTATTATAGGCTGACCTGGTGTTTAGCAGCAACAGTCAAAAGCCAGGGATCCTAAAGGCCTGCTGTCAGGAAATGGGGTTGAGTTCCAGGGGCTAGAACGTGGTACTGGTACAAAGCACCAGGCCCACGTTCCCTGAAAATGGCCTGCCTCTGGTCTCCCACCATACCTTCCCATATCCATTACCACCATAATATTCAGACCTGCCCCAACTTCCCCCAAGGCCCCAATACTCCCAATTCCATACCCACTGGCTCCCAGAACAGGGGATCCCCACATATCCTTCCTACATCCATATAGGGGTAATTGAGGGGTAATTGAGTCCCCTGGGGCACTTCACCCTTTGCTCTCAGTGCTAAAGGGAAATCCACAGCACCACCAACCTTTACAACAGATTTCATGCCCCCACCAACCACTTTCACCAGACTGGTCAAGGGCCACCTTCCATTCCATATACATCACACCACCAATTCCCCCTAACTGGCTCTCACCCGGGGAGGACAATTACTCTCCTACCAGGGAAAATCCCACCACCACCCAAACACAACATTGCCAGTCCGCATTGGACAATCTGGAAGGTGGAGTCTGTGCAAAAGATTTAAACTGACCACAAAATGGTCACCACACTGTCCTTTTTGAAACTCCAGCAGGAAGAAGACAAGATGGCTTTCACAGAAGGGAGAGAAGATCCATGGCAGCCTTCAGGCACCAGCCCTCCTCTGCTGCTACCCACTCCAACTTGGCCACCACCAATCACAATTTCCTGCTGCCCCAAAAGGGGAAATGGAGTAGTCCCAAAAGTCTTGAGAGGAGTCCTGGGAGGCCCTTTGATAAGGAGACCCTAAAAGTGCCACACCACATTGCTGGTAGTCCCTGGTGCAGGACAATCACATGTTCCGCTGCAACTGCCGGTGGAAGCCAAAGCACTGCCAATATGCAGCTGGGCACTGCTGCCATCCAAACGAAGGACTCTTGTCACCACCCTCGCCACAAAATAAGAAGCTGCCCAGTCTCCAGCCACTGGATGGCAAAATGCATTCCTGGCCACTGTCAAAGTTCCCTGCAACCTTGTCCAGAATTGTGCCTCTGTCGCCGTTAGCCCAACCATCAGCCACACTGCCCCACAGGGGTAGCGAAACAGCAGTGAACTCCGCCCGGCCAACCTTCACCAAAATGGCCCTTACAGAGCTCCCGCTGCAGCTGGCAGTCTGCAGGAGTGAAGGACACGTGCAGCTCTGCTTCCTCATCCAATGGCCAGAAAGGAGCCTGGCATGAGTGTTCCAGATGATCCAGCCTGTGGCTCAGCCCAGGGCAGCCCAGTGCTCCACTAAAGTGGGTCAAAAAAGTCCAGGTAAGAACTGATGCCACCAAACGAAACAACATACCTCCACACCAACAAAACCATCCAAAAACCACGGAGCCCACACTACACAGGCATTTTCTCTGCCATCGTTAAAAAAAAAAAAAAAAATTGGGAGCATAAGCCAAAATGAAATGTTTTCATCAACTGAAGATAATACTTAATTCATGTGTCCAAATGCTGCTATGTTAGAAGAGAAAGAAATGCCTGATTGTTATGGTTTGCTTCATGAACACTTTCCTACACTACTTTTGGATATCTGTTTTTTTAAATCATCTAAAGGTTCATTGTTTTCATTTTACTTACAAGGATAGCTACTGAAAAGGACAGTTAATTTGGTTAACACAGTAAGGATTTTTTCCCTGTCATTCTGATTTTTTCCTTTCTTTTAAAAAACTCAGAGGACAATCTGCCTTGTATAAACTGCTTTTTAAGACAACTGTACAGCTAAAAATATTATTAATGTGGAGTTACTTGCCCCTGGATATTAGTACAGGTAGTCCTCAACTTACGACCACAATTGGGACCAGAATTTCCATCACTAAGTGATGTGGTCATAAAGTGAGATGTTACATCACTGCATCACTTAGCGACGGCAATCCCAGCACTCCCTGTTGCAGTTGTTAAGCGAATTCCGCTGGTCGTTAGCTGAGGATCCATCCCAATCCAAGTCATTACGGGCTTGGTCCCTCCCAGCCCTGAGCCTCAGTAAGGTAGGGACTGCCTCTAACTCCCCCCACCTGCCTATCTCCCCCAACATCTCTGCCCTTTTGGCTGCCCTGCACCCTGCCTTACAGGGTGGCAAGCAGCACCAGAACCACACAGCTCTGCGGCTGCTTGCCACACCCTGGGAAGCCGCAGCCACCCCAGCCCAGTCCCAGATGCTCTCGCCACCCTGTACTCTGAGACCCCTGCTGCCCTGCACTCTGCCACCCCAGCTGACCTTTGCCATCTTCTTGCTCCCGCTGCTGACGAGGCATGCCTAGCCTTGGGTAGGAAAAATTGCTGCTGTAAAATTGAATACTTTGTCAAGACTCAACTTTCTTTTTTAAACAATTCTAATATTGAAAAGAAGGTATTAAGTGACTGGCATAAACAAATAATGAACTACATATGGTCCAATAAAAGACCAAGGAGTAAATTCAAGATTTTACAGGATTCAAGAGTGAATTGGACTGGTGGTTCTGAGCTTGAAACTGTATTATCATCCTACTTGCTTAACATGGATTGTATCTCCTTAAGGCCTGGCTACCTTTACCGAAGGGTCATGACTTTCAATTGGTCTGTGTAAATATGTTTGGGTTGATACAAACCTAAACAATTTTTAAGAGATCATGTAATATACTAAATGTCTGAGATAAATACAGAAAAAGAATAAGCTCAGATTTCTCCCCTCTTGCTACACTATTAAATGTTTATTTTTATGAAAAGAAAAGCACTAAGAAATTCACTCAGTGGAAAGTAAAAAAATTGCTTACATTGCCAGATTCAATTGTTAATAACACAAAGTCTGTTAAGATCCTTACTTCACAATGATCTAGCCTATCTGATTGGTTTCAGTATTTTCAATAAGTAGTGTGGTGCTAAAAGAAACAAGGGAATCCTAAGAGACCTGAATTTGAAAATCTTGTAATACAAACTTTGCAACCATATCTATACATTGCCAGTGAAGTATGATTCAGAATCGAAACAATAAATTCAGAATCGAAATTGATGCAGAATTTGAATGCAGTAATAGAGATGCAACAATGGGAATTTTAGTAGAAGAATGTTACATTTACTCCAAATATTATACTTAGGGAACATTGGTAAGTTTTACCATTGATTCTGACTACTAAAATGGACAGTTCATTTCCTAAACATTGCTGGAAATATAATGAACAGTTTGGATTTTTTCCTCATATTTTGTGGCAATGTTATAAAGCGCAACAATTCTGGAAAATTATCTATACTAGAACAAAACAAATCTTAAAAATCATTTCAACTGCAATATTATTAAATTTTACTAAACCATATATCCCTTCAAAATATACTGAACTAGCTTTGTATATGCTAACTGTTGCAAGGATATTACATGCTTTTTACTGGAAAGATAATTTGATCCCCTCAATAGAAGATCAGCTAACTAAGTTGTGGGAACGATTCAATGTCTAGGATAACTTATTTTAAAATTGTATTTTAATTTCACAGAATATCTGAAGCAAAGCAGATTTCTACTAATATGGATTGAGTTTACTATAGTCTACAATTTTATTCCATCATTTATACTGTGTTAACCATAGTTCTTGATTTCATGATTCTTATAGCAATTCTTAGTCTGTTAAAGCAATATAATACATTATTTAAAAATAATTATGTTATACTGGAAAATTATAACCTCCATGACATATTTAAATATCTTGTTCATTCATTTGTATTTCTTCTTCTTGTCTTCTGTTTGTTTATACATCTTCTTTAATGTTCAATAAAAAAGAAAAAAAGCTGAAGCCCAAACACTCATGTTGGCCCAGGGCAGATTTCAAACTAGAAAAGACTGGGCATTTTAAATTGTCCCTCCACAATTTAGACTCTTATATACCCAACAGGAGTTTATCCTCCTTTAGAGAGGCAATGTATTTGGAGACTCTACCTATTCAGAAGGAACAAACGGGTCGAAAGACAAAATGTTTCAGCATGGACTTCCATGTAACCAGGCCTGTAACCTGTAACCAGGCCTTTTTTTTCACATTCACCATTTCCTTTCCTTCCATTAAACTAAATTAGATAAACAAACAACAAAGTATTAGAACTTTACAGCACTCTGGATATGGGAATGTAGTACCTGTCTGCAGATCCTCAAACCAAAGGCAGCTCTTCCTGCAGCTGTGTAGGACTGGGACAGGGGCAAAAGAAAAGGCAGGGCTGCCTTCAGAATTTACAGACAGTAAGCGCCATTTCGCTTTCAAAGCCAAAGTGCTACACCGCCCTACAAAATATATATTTCAAAGGCGCTGTTTCTGACACGCCGTATAAACAAAGCGGACCAGAAAAATTATTTTAAGCAGCATACTCGGCGAGCACGCTCAGCTACTCGTGGGAACGCTGAGTAGCTGAAAGCCCTAGGTCACGAAATCGGCAAACTGGGACCCTCAGGGGTGATGCGCTGCGGCACTGCTTCTCGTCTGGGGAAGGGGCTCGCAGAGCCACAGAAGCCAGACAAGTGGCGGGGCGGGGGAGAGGACAGGAGCACGCCCAGCGCCACCTTCTCCCTCTCCGCGCCGCTGGAAGCGCAGGAGATCGGACGCCACGGCCGCGCCGGCCGGAGACGGGGAGAACGTGGGGAAGCGCCGGGCCGCGGCCGCGCGCTCACCTGTCAGCGGGGGAGAGGAAGCGCACGGCGGCGGGGCTCAGGACGAGGCCCCCGAAGCGCTGCCCCAGGCGGAGCGTGCGCACCAGCCCCTTCCGCGCCAGCCGCCGCCCCGTGCAACGCCGCGGGTCACAGTGGCCCAGATCCCACATGGCCAGTGGGCACCAGCGTGGGCGCGTTCCGGCCGCGGCTGCTGCCGCCTCTTCTTCGCCGCCGCCGCCCTCC